TTCACCTCTCCAAGTTCTCCACTGCCTTAACCAGGTATTGAACTTACACTTTCTGTCACTGGATCTAACCAACGTTTTTATCCACTGTGAAAGTTGTGAGTTCAATACCTGGTTAAGGCAGTGAAAAACTTTGAGAGGGAATTAACAGGAGATAACTGATATCCATTAGATATGGCAGGTGGAACTAGAGCAGTCTACCCCAGCAAGTGAAATAAAGGGTTCAGTTCAACATTCAAACCGCCTGAAGAAGGCCAGAGCATACATCAGCCAAAACGTGATAAATATGGCAACAAAGTTGGTGAATGCTGTCATAATCCTTACTTTCAGTTCATCTTTGGTGTTGCAAAGAGTTTTGTTGGTCTCTCACTCCACTGCCCCATACATATAATAATCAAAGGGATTGTTGTTTGGAGAGTTAGGTATCCAGATGTAAGGGGTGATGTGGTTGCAGAAATTGTCTGACAGCCATGAGCCCTGTTGCCAAACATAGGGTTTTCCAGCAGCCATTTTCTTGAACCATGCCAGCACTACCTCCTCAAGACAGTTGATGTAGGCCTGCCTCCGTGTTTAGTTTGAGGCCCTCACCAACAAATTCTGGCATTCTTTTCTTATCAGAATGATCAGAATTAGTTTTCTAAGCTGCAATACCTCCGTAATCAACTATAAACTTGTCCAACTCTTTCCAAATCCTCTGCACTGTCCTCAGATTGACGCCCACACACTCTCAAATGTTTATATTGGAGCTTCTGGCGAGAATGCCAAGCAGTACAGAATGCCGTTCCCAAATTTCTGGCAGAGTGAATTACGTCATGTTGCTTTTTTATCACAGACAGTACCCAACTGATCCTACTATATTGTGCAATCGACAAAGTCAAATACAAACAACGTGCATGCACGAAATTATAAATATAAAATGGTGACAATTTACCTATCATACACTGTACATTATTTCTCTCTCTCTCTGTCATATATATATATATATATATATACACACACACACATACACATACACAGTGGACACTGAGGGAATTATATTTTCTTTTCTTTCTTATGATTAAAATGAATGGAAATAAGAATAAGTGGAGAGTGGTTTGTGTGTGTGTGTGTGCATATATGAACACATCTTCATCTTCTAATTTTCATACACAAAATCATCAGTGCATCTTGGTAGTATATCGTCTGAGTCACACACCTCCCCAGTCTTTTGGGCAGGAGTAGTGGTTTATTTTTTGTTTCCTGTTTAGGATTGGTTTACCGGTTCCTTCTAAGACCTACTTCAACTTTATACTCCTGAAGTCTCTGCCTAAACACTGAAATTTTTATGTTCAAAATCAGATGTGATGTGGCTTCCCTCCGTCTTTTCTGCAAATATTTTCGTGGAAACTATTCTGATGAGCTTTTTTTACCTCGTGCCTCGACTATGTGAATTTAACCATGCTACTAGATTGGCAACAAGATTTCACCATTTTAAAGTTGTTTTAGCTAGATGCAACCACCACTTCTATTCTAGCAGTTTCTTTTCTCGCACTTCCCACCTGTGGAACTCCTGATTTCTTGCTTCTTAATCTTGTGTGAGAGTGTGCTGAAAAGTTCTTGGCTCAACAAAAAGGCCTTTCAAAAATAAAAAAAAAAAAAAAAAAAATTAATGTTTAATCATTTGGTCAGATTTTGGAAAATGGGGAGGGCTAAAAACTTTTTTTTGTATACACCTGTGAGAAACCTAAAGTTATATAATGACTCTATATTGCCAGCTTGGATGCATGGTTACAAAACATAGAAATTAACAAAATCACTTGGAAACAAATTTAGAAATGCACAAGGACCAATGAAAAGGACAATACTAGGGTGAAAACTTTGATAGACATCAACATGGGTCAAGGAATTGACCAATGCATAGAAGAAAAAAATAGAAATACAAGAAGAAAGTAATGAAAGATGGAACAAACAATTGCTTGATCAATGCCCAGTGAGTATCAAATGCTATTGGAAAAGATGGAGAGGTGATATAGAGATGTTTGCTTGTAAGACATGACAGAATATCACAATCATGGGTATTGTGGAAAAAATTGATGGGGAAAATTTTTTTGTCCTTCAATGTACTTAAAATGGTTGGTGATGAATTAGCAAGATTGACAGACCATAAAATTAATTTTTGTCATGTTGCCTAAGAATTCATTACATAAACATGATCAGTTTTCCCATTTCCATAAGGGAGATATTATTGATGTCATAGAAGTGTTTGAAACATGCATCATATTTTTTATATATATATATATATATATATATATATATATATATATATATATATATATATATATATATGAGAGAGGGGGAGCAAAGTATATGGGTAGGTAAATCAAATAACTAGATATTAGCAACCGTATATGCATGCATTTACTTTCAGGTGTAAGCATAACAGTTCTCAATATGATTAGAAAGAGCTAAGAAGTATATATTAATAAATATACATATACCTACATTTGGGGTGCAACTTAAGTTTTGTTGTTTTACTAACTCCTCAAAATAATATATATATGTACCACTTGTTGCAACATAAAAAATAAAAGGAAAATGGTAAAATGTGTGGAGGGGGCTTGTTGCCAAAGGGGGTATGGCCAAAGTTTCTACTCCATTAATGGTGGGTTTTCTTGCAGGATCAAATAAACATTGATAAAGGGAGATAATCAATAGTGACAAATGACAAACACCAGAATAAGATTTAATTATACATTAGAACAGCATGTGTGCAGTGTACACAATATGAAAATCAAAAGAAACACTTAGCTTTTGTCCATTATCTGAAATAAAACATGTTTTCTCTTCATTTTTTTTTTATTTTTTTATTTTTTTCATTTTCTCTCTCTCTTCATTTTCTCTCTCTCTCTCGCCCTTTTTTTTATATTTCTCTCTTTTTTTTTCTTTTTCTTTTTCTTTTTTTCAGCTCAGTCCTTTTGTTTTTGTATTTGCACATGCAAGAAAATCATTTCAATTCTGTTTCTTTTTCATTACTGTTGCAAGTTTTTTACCCCAAGGGATGCTTGTTTTCTTTTCACATCTTCACCAATATAAAATTTCCTTTTCAGTTAGGAAGATTCAGTACCATGTTGATCGTTGCTTTCCCTAATTTGATAATTGGATGAATCACACATGCTCGTCTTTGCTGATTAACACATTGAGTAATCCACCATTGCATTTAATCTAGGACTATTTAGCCTATCAAATATATGTCCATATGCAACGTAATGTGTGTGAGTTAGGACTAGGCTTCAGTCTCTTCATTATGCAATCCCCTTTAGTTGACGATAACTAAAGGGTATTGATTGCTTGAGCTCCGCTCAACTGATTCTTTGGATATTTTTTCCACTCAACTTTTCATATTAGATCACATGATTCTGCACATGTGAGATGCTATTTTTAGATCTTATACTATTTTCTTTCTAGGGTCAGTCATTTGGCTGCCTAATTGTTCATCTGACTGCTAACTTAAACAAATTGGTAGAGAGAGTGGGTGAACGTCACAGAGAAAGATGGTTAGGGCTGGTTTAAACGGGTTCAAATTGACAGATTAAACATTTATTTAAAATGAATTGTAGCCACCAAAGTGGGCCCCTCCAACTATTAGAAAAAAAAAGAAAAGTATGTACCTTATATTTACATATATAAGGCAGCCTTTAAATCTTCAAAATTACCACCAAAAATAGGAAGTTGTCTAATACAGCAGTTAACTTTAAATCTTGTGATGTATTGGCATTAGTAAGAAGGCTAACAATTACTTGGATATGATAATTACTAATTTAAACATTTGTAGTTAAAATAATTCACATAATGCTGTACGACAGTTATAAATATAATAAAACTACTTTTACTTGATTTCACATAAAAATGCAATATTCCAGAAATGATTATACAATTTGCAAAAGTTCTGCTAAGAAATACACACACGTAACAACATAAACAAATCTTTCATTCTTGATTTGTAGAGCCATGAGTGCGTTCATACCAATCATTATTTCTCATAGCGTTAAATAATGTTTAGAATAACATAAAATCTATATTTCTAATTAAAATTCATTATCATTATGGTGTTAAATAACATTATTTAATATAACATGCAAACTTTATTTTTCATTAATATACATTATACGGTATTTTTTGTGTGTGTGCTGTTAAGCAACAAAACATTTAAGATGTCATAAAAATTTTATTTCTCATTACGTAATCAAAAAACATAAGACACTCACCTACATAATTAAAACCCTTCAAAATTACTATGATCATCATCATCTGATGCAAAGAAATCATCATAAACATCGTTGTTTACAGTTTTGTAATATGGGTTCCAGTCAGTCATCTTACTTATTATAAAACGCAGATTGTGTGTGTGTGTATGTCTGTACGTTTATATATTGGATCGGATTTCCTACATTTTTCAACCGATTTCAACAAAACTTCACTTTTTTTTGGCAGCTAGTGTTTCTTATTGTCTTGCACACTTTTTCTTTATTTTTACATTCAGAATGCTTTAAAAATTCCATTTACAAGACAATTGTTTATAATAAAATTCTATTCAATCGATAGATTCATAACGATTGAAAACAATGTTTTTGTTTGAGTTTGGGTTTGACCAATTCATTAAAAAAAAAAAAATCTAATTAAGATATGCGTGTCCGTCAACCTTAAACAATAATCTTTGTCAATTTTATTTTTCAGTCTTTATGATGGTCGATACTTGATCTATCTCTTACTGTTACATCCCCAGGCAATGCCGGGCTCTACTGCTAGTCTTATACTACAAATATCAGATAAAATCATAAAGGTTTGCCTAGATTTTAGATCTCGTTTCATCTATAGGTTGCCTTGTATGTGGAAATATATGGTATATGTATAGGTAATATATTTATTCACCTGGTGAGCATAAAATGACTCATCAGCATTGACACACCATTAAACAAAATCTAAATGGCCTAACAGCATTGTGACGTTTTTTTTTTTTTATTCAGGAATTGGCAAGGATCACATCAAGTTTTCCCCAGTAGCTACAGCTTCTTACCGTCTTCTGCCAGAAATCACTCTTCTAGCACCAGTTCAAGGTGTAAAGGCTGAAAAACTCCAGAAGTGTTTCTCACCAGATGTCATTGAGATTGACATTGTGGATGGTGTCAAGACTGCTCGAGTGGCCCATCCCCGAAAGGACACTTGTAGCCGGGAAGTTCTAAGGCATGATGACCTGAAGGATCTTGTACGTCTTAGCAAGATCAGAGACCATTTCATTTTCTCCATTGAATCGACAGGAGCCCTTGCAGCCAACATTCTTTTCTCCGAAGCAGTCAAAATTCTCATGAACAAATGTCAGTCATTCCTCAGTAAAATAAAAACATAATTTTTTTTTTTTTTTTATTTGACATAATTCGTGTTTGTTGGTTTGTTTTTCTTTTCTTGATTTTTAATAAAGATATTTTTTAAAAATAGACATTTATTTTCCTCCCATTCTTAGAGTTGAATTTAAAATTAAAAAAAAAAAAAAAAATTACTAATTATGTTAGGAGTTTTGCAACCCATTAGGGTTATTGGAGCCATACATTTACTGCTGCCAGGGCAGCAAAGTTGTCTATGGCAAAATAACCTGATGGTATGCATCCCTCTTCAGGCTGCTGCTGCTTTTCTTTTTTTTTTTTTTTTTTTTTCTGGACTGGTTGTGACTTCAAGGCTCAAGTTCATAGCCATCCCAGCTATTTAGCCTATACCTGATGAGAGAAGAGATGGTTTCTTACCTTTCCTGATGGTATTAAACACCACTCACTGATTTGTTTTGTTAATCATTACATTATCCATACCAGTTGGCATATTAGTCACAAAAAACATTGTGAGTTTGTTTGTCAATTGATGTTCTATGAATGCACCTTGGTTAAAAAAAAAACATTTATCAATATTTAAATTGAAATAAAAGTCAAATAAATTAAAAAGAGAAAAATTACTAAAAAAAAAAAATTGGTAAACTTGGACCTTTGTGCCAGCCAAAAATCAGTTTTGAGAGAATGGTTTTTCCATTGACGCTGCTATTTTTTTTTTTTTTAACTACCTTCAATTCTTGGCAATGTTTATTGTTTTAAAAAGCGATGATTAGAATTGTAATAAAACCTAAACATATGATGAAAGTGAATTTATATATTTTTTGTTCTTGAGAATTTACAGCAAAAATATTAAACCCTATTAGATTGTTTATTTACAAGAATAATATGTTTATGACATTCTAAAAACTAGTACAATTGCATTAAAACTAATGCAATACAATATTTATCATTTACCAATTTATAAAGAAATAGGTACGAAAACAATTTTTTATTCGTAAATTTATAAAAAAATTATAGTGGAAATGAAATTCAGATGGAGCAGCCAATTGCTGCTGATACTGGTCAAAGAGACCCCGTTTATTGTCTCTACAGAGAGACAGCACATGCCTGCTCTGCCAGAACAGAGCCAGTGTGAACCCCAGAATGTCTGGTTATGAAGAAGGAAAGTGTCTACCAGCTTCCCTATCAGTCTGGATGCTGAGCTGAGCAATGTTAGCTATGCAAATGATTGCTAGCCAACTAAAGTTTTAGGCTCCATAAAAGCAGGCACAATTCTGGGAAGAGGCAGTGTCTGACAATGCAGTGTTGATCACACAACAGGATTGTCATTCGTTACCAAAGATTTCTGTTTGTGTTACCCAGCATGATTTCCACTTCGTCATCATTTGTGGTTTTGGTGTCTTAGCTGTGTTCATCCCATACATGTGGGTTTTCCCATCTGTAATTCTTGTCCATGCCCTGCTTATCGTGATACAGTGTTTGATTCCAGTGCTGTTGAGTTTTCAGTCCCGCTTCATTGGCAGATACCCAACCAATAAGAAAATCTCTTCAAAAATTTACTATTAAAATAAGTGAACCAACTGTAAGGCAATCCTTATTATTTACCATTTTATAAAGTTGGAATTGATTGGCAATTAACCATTCCAATAAACAATCTAATAAATGAATAGCGTAAATAAACAAGCTAATAAATAATGTTTATTATTTTTGTTGTCAATTTTCAAGAACAAAGAAAATGTATAAATTCACTTTCAACATATGTTTAGGTTTTATTAAAATGTAGTATCATGCTTAAAGGATGTCTCGGATTATTGAAACTGTGAACTGATGTATTTAACCTTTAGCATACTGCATTAATATTATCTCCTTTTTTCACTGTAGTCTTTTTCAAGGCCATTCAATTGCCATATCCTTATTGTTAATTTTATTCAAAGTTGTTTTCTGTTGCTCTAGCAGGATATGACAACATAACTATTCAAACACTATTGTTCAGGGATAAGTCACCTTCAATGACAGGATAAACTTTTTGTACAGCAAGTGAAATCACATACAGAGTGATAATGGTTATCCCCTCAGTGTAATCTATAATTAAGATAATAACAGTCATAAAATTGCCCAGCTGAAAGGCAAAGTTTCTAATCTTACATGACCTAAAGTGTAACAGTGTCTAGATAAGAGCTATAGAATTTCAGAAAGCTCACATTACAGGAATTTGTATAATGGTAGCTGTCAATAAAGTTTACAACTGCTATTTTTAACAATGTTTGACTTGTCATATTTGTTATATATATATATATATATATATATATATATATATAAATTTCATTTTGACAGTTTTGAGTAGGATGATAAACTGCATCTGTCAGCAAGGTCTCAAATTAGAGGTTTCAAGGAGTGTGGAACTAGCTCTTAATTACTGTTGTTCCCAGGTCCACTCTGATCCAGGGTGGTAGCACCTGTTAGGGTCCCAGCTATGGGCAAATAGTGAACCCCCTAACAAAAAACCCTAAGAAAGAATAAAAATACATTTTTAATTAAACAAAATTACCTTTTATAGTAGAATTACTAACAATACATTTTATAGCAAAATGACCAACAATACATTTTATTTGTAGTTGAAGGCACATAATTACATTCGAAATATATTTAGTTGAAGCCGGGGTACCTCAAAGTGGTGTAATGGTTAGAAAGCTTGTCTCGCTAGAACAATTACGACTGAGTAGTGAGTTCGTTCCTCACTGGATGCCCCATACTTTCAGCCTTGTGCCACATCTGACCTATGCTTGAAAAATCACTATTTAGTAGAAGCCATAAAATTGTGTTCAAAATATTTAGATTTCCGCAATTAAATGACCCATAGAGGTATTGATATACCACTAAACAAAATCAACCCACCAACCAAACTACCAGCATGAATGAATTCTTTCATGACATTAATCCATATAATATCCTACAATTTCTTAAAGAAATCAAACTTTATTCCAAAATATAACTTCAGTAAAATTACAACATAAAACACATCACTGCCTCTAGTAATTATCTCCACACAAATGTGTATATGCACAAAAGCAGAGTATCATCTACCATGTATTCACTTGTGAAAGCAGAATAACATATATCATGTTTTTATTACTTCAAAGCTCCCAAGAAAATTAAATTTCAGTATTAAATGACCCATAAGAATTCATATATCATTAAACAGGCAAACACTTTTATAGGTTTTCTTAGAAGCGGATCATTTTGCTAAAAATTTTAAGATTATTTAATTTTAAAAAAATAAAATAATTTTAAACTACCATATATATACCAACATGAGTATATATGATAGTTTAATATTATAGTGTGACCCCTGATTTTTTTTTTTTTTTTTGAAAAACCTATTTTCATATAGCGCATGTATTATCTGATCCCAGCTTCTGAGCAATACTAGTAGGCCTACCATAGTCAAATATTGCAGTACTGAGCATTATCCTGGACATATTTTAAAGCAAATAAATGATCTTCATTCTTTTTTTGTACAAATCTACCCCAAAATGGTGAGAAAATCCACTTACTGTAAAGTATCTGATACAAAGATTTAGATACAATTGCTTTTGTTTCCATTCATGCCTGAATATGCTTGCTCCTTTACCCTTTTGTCACTATAATGCAAAACTTTATCCACTATGCATGCCACTTAAAAATAATAAATACCTTGTGTAAATGAAGAATTAATAGATTATTTTTCCCATCTCAAATTTGCATTCACCCTTGTTTCATAAGTGTTTACATGACTGAGGTATTACTTGTACCATTAAAGTTAGCCAAAGGTACTGTGATAATGTAGACCTATCAGGTAATTTATTGTCAATTTTAATCCCTCCAGAAAATATTTTCCTGTGTATAGTGTAACTGGTTACCTAAAATACAAGATTTTTAACCTCTTCAAAAAATGACCTGTGTATAGCATTTCCCCACTATTTCTTTTTTTTTTTTTAAAAAAAAAAAACTCTGATCATAAAATTTCACACTATACTTGAGTATATATGGTGTGGTTAACTCTTAATATACATAAATTTTTGAAACGACGACATTTTTGTGATGTCAATGTACACTTGTTGCCACTTTTGTAATGCCAATGAATACTTGTCACTTTTGCAATTGCTCATTGTAGTAGAAACTTTGTAATCGCAGATACAACTACAGTATGCAATTGAACAATGCTGATGTCAGATGCATTTGAATAGTACTTGCTTGATAATACTCACTTGAATAGTAATCCGTAGAGTGATCAATATAGAGAAATAGTATAGAGGAGAAATGGTGATCCAAATAGTAATAGAGGATAGACTAGAACTGGAGATCAATTAGACATCACATGACTTCCTATATATGCACTTCCTCTATGATCACATGATCCACTGAATTCAATAATGTGATCGCCTGTGTTTGCTCTATGTTCAAACTAAAGTGTCAGCAACCACACTTTATTCCTATATAACACATATTTAGGTACATCATTAAGTTCAAAGTCTAATAACAAAAAAGTATTTTATACAACAAATATTAATTTTTCAACATAATCTCCTTCTTTGTTATTTCACTTAATGCTTCACCACTAATCACAAAGATTAATCATTGTTTTTTTTGTTTTTTTTCTACCTGCCATATCTCTTCAGGACATGGGTGATCATGGCTCTCCACAACTTCCTATCCTCTGTAACACTTAAAAATGTTTGTCTTTTTACTCTACCTCCCAATCCCAGTTCTTGTTATCCATTTACACAAGCTCATTAGGTTACTAGTTGTTTCTCTCTGCTCCTTTTGCCTTCAATATGCCCTGTGAGTGTCAAATTCTCCAAGCCTTATGTGTCCTGGAAATTTCAACTGTCTTTTTTCTGATTCTAAGTATAAGTAACCTTTTCACACCTATTTTCTGTAAAAACTTCCTTGTTACTCATATGCTCCATTCATGGTATACTCAGTTTCCTTTTGTAGAACCACCTCTCTGTCTCCTCTTCATCTGTGAGGAAATTGTCCCGCATTCACT